ACCAATTTAGGGTTCAAACCTAACTTCAAAATCGATTTTTAGGTTGAAGTTATGTAAACATTCTAAATGCTCTAATTTGCTGACAAGCGTTTTTGAGGAAAAAGTGACTCTTTTTTCAGTTTAAATTAATGATAAATCAATTCCGGATTACGTCAACTTTAGGGATTTTTTTTCCAAGTGGCTGTAATGTTCCCATCTTTGAAATGATGTAAAGGTTTGTACTTTATTTCTAATCTTTAATTCATATATTGTACTCCCTCCGTTTCACAAAGAATGACCTGGTTTGACTTGGTACGGAATTTAAGTAAATAAAGAAGACTTTTGAATCTTGTGGTCCTAAATTAAAGTTATGTCAAATGTACAAAATTGCTCTAATCTTGTGGTCTTAAACATGCCACGTGGAAAGCAAAAAGTAAAATGTTACCAAAAAAGGAAAGAGGTCATTCTTTTTGAAACTGACTAAAAAGGAAAGGAGGTCATTGTTTGTGAAACGGAGGGAGTAATTATTTTAAGCATTTGTTGTTGATGGTGAATATATACATAAGTTAGTTGTACCATGTAAATTTTCTATAATAATCTCTATATTGTTATGAATCATAGAGTCAAACGCATTATGGGGACAATTATTTATCTCAAATTTCATGGTTATTATAATGAGTTGTTGTTATATACGTATATTTCTCTTTTAGTTATTGTAAATAAAAATACACAAAAAATAGATAAATGAACTTGTGTACAAAAATAAGAAATGTATTTGAAAATCAATTTAATTTTTTAAAGAAAATATATAGAAAAAATATGAATATAAAAAAAGCCAAACACCAGCAACATTTTCTCGTGAAGCAATGAACTTAATTGATGTGTATCATTTAAATATAACTCTTTCCTTTCAGGTATTCATACTTACAATTTATTATGTGAATGATATTGATGATGATTATCATAAATATTTTAATTTTGTATTTTTTATATAATGTATTTCTTACAAAATATTATCACACAATATTTGAATATAATTGCAATAGAAAAATAATTTTACAAAGAGTGTAATGTTATAATGAATATTCTTATTGTTGTAGGCAAAACATTATTATAGAGAAATATAATATAACATGAAAAATTGATTCTAACAAAGATTAAATTATTATAAAATATTATTATAGCAAATGACTATTATAACGAGGTCTATAGATTAATATGCTCAACACAATAATCTCAATATTACCACTCATTACATAATTTATGTCTAAAAGTATAGTATAATTAGATCGCAAAACCAACAACTTAGTATATCTTCCACAAATTTTTCATCTAAAATAAAAAAATTATTATATGCAAGAAACTAATATCTATTTCTCTAAAAAAGAAGGTCCGCTAGCCTACATGTCATAATCTTAGAAAGACAAATGTTTTATGTACGCTAAATGTTGAATATTTTTTAATATAATAAACCTTTTGCTGTCTACTAGCTAAAAAGTAAAATAAAATAAATGAAAAATGGAAACAGCACAGCACTACTTTCCCATTACGCGTACTATAATCCAGACTGTAATTCATTAATAAATAATCTTACATTAATAAAAATAATAACATGCCCTTCATTTGAGTGTACATAAATAAATGTTTAAATTTATATAAATCAAACAAATAGATATACGTGTCATAATATATATAAGACGGTCACAAAATTGTCAATTAGAATGACATATAGAAATAATATGTCTATTTATTTAATTTTATATAAATTTAACTGTCTATCAGTTGAATCGAATTAAAACATTTATTATCCATAATAAAATATTACAAACTTTTATGTCTGAATGTGAAAAGATTACACATTGTTTCCTAATTTTTTCATCTTCATCTCCATTCTTACACATCTACCTTACCTTAGGCAATTTCCTCCCATCACTCTCCCACCGACACCGTTCTTTCTTTCTATCTTTCTTCATAAACCCACCTTCAGATCTTTCTCTAAATCTCCATTTTTCAACACCCAAATCCTCATCTTTTTTCCATTTTCTATAACCCCAACAATGAAATCAATGTCAAAACTTGCCCTTTTTGTCTAAAACTTTCCAAGATTTGATTTTTCATCATCAAGACTTGATTTTTATTCCTTTTCAGCTTGTGGGTATTGAGGGAAAATATGTTAGATCGATTTCTGAGTGCTCGTAGAGCATGGCAAGTCAGGAGAATTATGAGAAATGGGAAGCTTACATTCTTGTGTTTGTTCCTTACCGTTATTGTCCTTAGAGGAAATTTGGGTGCTGGAAGATTTGGTACTCCTGGCCAAGATTTGAAGGAAATTCGTGAAACATTTAGCTATTACAGGAAGCGCGTGGAGCCCAGACGCGTTCTTGAAGAAGCACAACAGGTATCTTCTACAAGCACTGTAAGTGATGGTGGTGATTCATCATCAGATAGTAATAATTATGCTACTTTTGATTTAAAGAAGATTTTAGTTGATGAGGATGATGGTGAGCCTGAGTTTAAGAGAGATCCAAATCAACCTTATGCTCTTGGTCCAAAGATAACAGATTGGGATGAGCAAAGAGGGGAGTGGTTGAAAAAAAATCCTAATTTTCCTAATTTTGTAGGAACAAATAAGCCAAGGGTGTTGTTGGTTACTGGTTCATCTCCTAAGCCATGTGAGAATCCAGTTGGTGATCATTACTTGTTGAAGTCAATAAAGAATAAGATTGATTACTGTAGGCTTCATGGGATGGAGATTTTTTATAATATGGCTTTGCTTGATGCTGAAATGGCTGGTTTTTGGGCTAAATTGCCTTTGCTTAGGAAGCTTTTGCTTTCACATCCTGAGGTTGAGTTTTTGTGGTGGATGGATAGTGATGCTATGTTTACTGATATGGCTTTTGAGCTTCCATGGGAGAGGTATAAAGATGCTAATCTTGTGATGCATGGATGGAATGAGATGGTTTATGATCAGAAGAATTGGATTGGTTTGAATACTGGTAGCTTCTTATTGAGGAATACTCAATGGGCTTTGGATTTACTTGATGTGTTGGCTCCTATGGGGCCAAAGGGAAAGGTAAGGGAGGAAGCCGGGGCGCTTCTTACTCGGGAGCTTAAAGATAGACCAGTTTTTGAAGCTGATGATCAGTCTGCAATGGTATATATATTGGCAACACAGAAGGAGATATGGGGTGATAAGGTTTATCTTGAGAATGCTTATTACTTGCACGGTTACTGGGGAATTCTGGTAGATAAATATGAAGAGATGATTGAGAATTACCACCCTGGTCTTGGTGACCATAGGTGGCCACTTGTTACTCACTTTGTGGGTTGCAAGCCTTGTGCAAAGTTTGGAGATTATTCAGTAGAGAGGTGCTTGAAGCAAATGGATCGTGCATTCAACTTTGGTGACAACCAGATCCTGCAGATGTATGGATTCACTCATAAATCACTTGGTAGTAGGAGAGTGAAGAGAACGCGAAACGAAACAAGCAATCCACTTGAAGTGAATGATGAGCTTGGATTACTTCACCCTCCATTTAAAGCTGTCAAGGTACCATCTTCTTGAATGCATATGAAAGGGATCATGCATTAAGGTCAAGATTGGGATGCCCTTTTAACCTTAAATTTTTGTACCATTTGATCACGATATGTGCCACGCTGTACTTGTTATTATGCCTGTCTTAGAGCACTGGTTATTGTATTCCTTCATTTGTCATAGTGTTTTGTGACATAATCTTTTTAAGTTACATATAAATTTCAATGGAAGGCATAGTTTAATTCATATTATATGTGCTCCTTGCTCACATTTGGTTGTCGTCGTGATTTTGGAGGCAATGGCTTTGGTGCACTCTTCCTTCTTTGAAATTATAAACTTTACTTGTTCTCATTTTGTATTGGATGCCGCTGAGGGATGGGTTCTTATTGCTTCACACAGTTCATTTCAATTAACCTTCATGGTCAATTATAATACTACCACATTCTGCATTAAGTTTCTCTCATAGTGGAACTTTAAACCGGAAATGTGCTTATGGGAAGAGTGAAGGACCAAAGTATGCTTAGAACCTTCAATATCAGTCTAGGGATGTTCCAGCGGGGTCGTGGTGAAGTAGGAAAATGTAAAAATTTATTGATGTCAATAGGGCCAAGTAGGTAATTATCATGTTTACCAAAAGAGTTACAGATTTCAGCCTTCGACTACATAAGGAATTCATGAATTCCATTATATCCTCTAATCCCCTCTCTAGGTTTCCTTTTACACCAAGAAAATAAAATTCTGTAGACTATTTGAGTTTCAAAAGGTAATAACACACTGCAAACTGTATTTCCCTCCTTTGGAGATTTTCATGTGTAAGGCAAGCTTCATTGATTGTTATCCATCCTAAGTCGGCCACTTTTGTTGGGACGTAAGTTCTCCACACAGACTTCTAGGACCAATGTTACCTTCCCAACTCCACTGCTTTAGATCGCCAATCATAGATAGAGTTAACTATGAAAATTCCATTTTACTTTGTATCCATGTCAAAGAATCAGATCTGTCCCTGTTAACACCACACTGTCCAAACTAGTCATGAGCATGCTTGCACTCTCTAGTTCACAATCCTGAAGGTTTCTTTTGAAATGGAGATTCCAGTTAATTGCATTACATTAAAGCAGTCAGCAGTGCTACCATCTTTGCAGGTTACATCTAGATATATGTTCGCACCTTTTATGTAGTTTCATCCTTACAGAGAGAGAGCGGACTGGATACAGAGGGTTCATTTAGCACCCCAGCTAGTTATTGTTGATTGATTGGTGCTTTCCTTGAGTCTTATGAAATGAGGCCCTGCTGCTTTTGTTTGGTGAAGTCATAGAAGCTTTTCTGGAGGGCTTTGTTCCACTTTTGTTAGATGCACATAAATGACATGTTATTTAGTATTGGCCTCTAGGCTCTGAAAGTAAAGCAATATTGCAAAGCTAAAAATCTGTTTACAAGATTGGAAGGAAGAAGACTTGATGTAAAATAGTTACTCAGATCACCAAAATTCAACTGAGATGTGAACAATCAACTATCAAAATCCCTTTCTCCTGATAGTATACAAAATCACAAATGCAAGTCTAATCATTATAACATCATAAAATTAAAAGATTAAGAACTAAAATATATTGAGATTGACTCAATTCACATTCTTTGACAATTTATTCCATAGAATGCAGATATATATCCCTGCATAAGTGCATAAAACTAGTGTCAAATGGTATTATGTGGTATTGAATTTAACAGATATGGTAGCAAAACTGTACAGAGACATATGGAGTAATCAGATAAGCCCCACAAAGTTTAGTTTTTTATCTAGAACTGAAGAGTACCAGGGGAAACAAAAACAATAACTTGGTAAAACTCACAAAGAACCATGAAACATAAAGTCATAAACAGAACCCTTGAGCTGGAATGAGATTTGAGAGAAGCAAGTCAGCAACTTGAGCTGGAATGAGATTTGAGAGAAGCAAGTCAGCAACTTGAGCTGGAATGAGATTTGAGAGAAGCAAGTCAGCAACTTGAGCTGGAATGAGATTTGAGAGAAGCAAGTCAGCAACTTGAGCTGGAATGAGATTTGAGAGAAGCAAGTCAGCAACTTGAGCTGGAATGAGATTTGAGAGAAGCAAGTCAGCAACTTGAGCTGGAATGAGATTTGAGAGAAGCAAGTCAGCAAAGATATAGAGTGATTATCCTTCAACACGGATACAAAATCACCTCATTAGATATTAACTGGTTAAATCCAGATTGAGGATGGTAGAATCAAAACACCAAGAGGCAAGAGTCTTCATGACTTCAAGTAAATTGATCAAAATTGCAGCAGAGTAATCACTTTTGTGGGATATATAAACATTTTTGAGGTATCAATAAACTTGACAAAAGAAAAAACAGACCATTCAGGACTCATTAGCTTCCAACAAAACACACAAATTTTCCCAAAAGAACCAAATACATATAATATATTGTCCTTTCAGTTCATATTAGAAGTGGCAAAAAACTGTTTCTGCATTGTTGTGTCAAAACATCAAGAAACAGGACCAAAGAATTACCATCGCAAAACTCTATGGAGGACAAGAGAACTATCATTTATACAACTCGACGAGAAGAACAAAATTACCATTCATAAAACTATTATCATTCTTATTGAATAAACTACAAGGAACTAATAAAATGAATAAGAAATCAATACCTGAGTACAAACATCATCTCAGAATACTGCATCAAGTGATATAGTCACAACCCTCATTTCCCTTGCTAATCATAGGAGAGACAAGAAAAGCTCTAGTTCGTACAAACTTAGCAATTATTCCATCAACGTTCATCTCCCTCCACTGTTTCTCTTTCTTATTGTACATAATCAACTTCTCTTTTCTAGGCGCATCCAGTACGATATCATCATCACTTGTTGAACACACGGGTGTGATACCATAAGGGCAAGTGTTCCTTATAGTCCAAGACTCCGCAACCCCATATTCTTTCATTATCCAAACATCAATTCCGTTTCCACTTCTTCTAATACTCAACATACAAAGACACCCTCTAAGAACCACAAGTTCATAAAATTGTCATGATCAAGAGTAATAATAGTAGGTATTGGCACATCGAAAAATTTCTCATTACTTAGATCAAAAGCAACAATTGCAAATGGAGTACCATTATATTTACTAGCCAACCAATGCAAAGCCCCATTTAGAAAAACCCCAAAATTATGAATGGGGCTTTGCATTGGTTGGCTAGTAAATATAATGGTACTCCATTTGCAATTGTTGCTTTTGATCTAAATTGCAAATGGAGTATCATTATATTTACTAGTCAACCTCAAGTCTTCTCCAAAAATCCATTCTCAGAGAGTAGACATCAACAAAAGTACAGAAAAGATCACCTTCATGTACATAGAGGTAATTGACCTACACACTTTACCGGCAGACGGGAGACTACATCTTCTATGTCAGGTAGCTTTTCGCTCATCGCCATTCTTGGGAATTTTAGAGGTAAATCCCTGTAACTACAAATGTACTCTTAGGGCATGTGAAATAATAATTTGAAGTCATCCTATACAATTATAGAAATGAAGTTCGAAGTTTTGTTTCGGTATGTAATTTTGATTTTTAAGTTGTATATTTTTTTTCTCATAAACATAACATTCTCATAAGTATCAAAATTATCCTAATTTTTATATATAGTCTTGTCAATTTGATTTTAATTTGGTTGACAAATGAATTCAATTTTTAATGGGTTGAAAATGAATTTAGTTGAAATGAGCGAGTCAATAACTCCCCAGACTTGGACAATATATGAGTGTTAAGGGAGACGGTAAGGATGGTAGCTGCCCAACAGAGGGAGCTACTGAAACTCCTCGCACAACAAGACGACAGCATAACGCTGATCCAACAAACCTACTCTGCCAGGCGATTGGAAGATGATAGGGACGGAGATTGGGAGATGACAGGTGATGTCCGTCTGGATGAAGTGTGTATTCTCAAACCTGAGTTAACTTCATCCTTTACTAAATGCTGTTCATCACTTAGTAATGTCTAAGATTACAAGTTATAATTGCATGGAAGCTTGTTACAATCAGGCAGGCTCATTTGTCTGAAGAAGGTTTAGGCAGAAACATAAATAATACTACGTTTACACGATTGCAAGACTTGGCCTGTAAAATAATTAGTCAGATCACCAAAATTCAACTTTTCAAATGCCTCTCTCCTGACAGTATACAAAATCAAAATGCAAGTCTACTTCCACAACGTACTCTCCTTCTATCACAGTGATCTGAAATAGTATAGAACTACTTCTATCTATCACAGGTCTCTGTGGCTCAACTCAAATTCTTTGACAATCTAGCTATTCCATATATCCCTGCGCAAGGCACAAAAAACAAGTGTCAAACGTAAATGCATACACTCAACACCTCTGTAGACCGACTGACTATAAGCAATAGATTTGGCAAAAAGTGTAGCCTTCATAATACTGCTGAAACTGTTACTACTAATTATCAAAGATGTTACCAACATCAGGGTTCCTATGCAAAAGCAAGGCAATCAGTGACAAACCATTCCATTTTGGCAAATAAATGAAGCAGAAATTAACAACATATTTCTCCTGCATCAAGAGAACTTCTTCGGGATTTGGTAGTATAAGATGAAAAATATGAGGAACCGCTAACTAGAAGGTGTACACGCAATAAGAGTGTGACACTTTAAAACAACTGTTAATATATAAAACTTGCATTCTTGACGGAACCCATTCAGAGTGATTATACAAAACATTAGATATTAACGGGTTAAATCCAGTTTGAGGATGATAGAAGAAACCTTAAATCGTAATCATCAAGAGTAAAATTTGCTGTTGGCACCTCGAAAAATTTCTCATCACTCGGATCAAAAGCAACAATTGTAGACGGACGATAAAAATCTTTAGCAGCCAACCAATGCAAAGCCCCATTTAGGAAAATCCCAAAACCATGAATAGGAATTGTACCCTGATGAGATATACTCTCAAGTCTCCTCCAAAACCCAAATCTCACAGAATAGGCATCACCAAAAGTAACCTTCTTCATGTACACCTTTATAATAAGAAAGAGTAATCATAATCATCGCTAGCAATATCATACCCTAAGAGCATACGCAGTAGAGGTACCACGCTTGGGAAGAGCCAGAGGAGAGTTTGGAATTGTACGGTATTCTAAGGTCATGGGGTTCATTAAAAATGCAACATCTTCCTCATTCAACACCAATACAAACCCATTACATTAGCCAACAACTCTCTGCCATTTTTCCTGAGTTGAAATTGCATCGATTCCATTATCGGGGTTGGGATTAAAAGTGAGAGTGTGAAGAGAGATTGAGAAACATCAGTTATAAGAATGAGCTTAATTTGTTCATGTTTGTGGAAATGAGCTTTTGGGTCTGAAAGAAAAGAGTTCAAAATGTTGGACAAAATTCATATCGCTTGACAAATTTACTGGATGCCGAGCCGTGGCTAGGTGAGGTAAGTTTGCTTATCGGCAAATCACGGAAGGTGCCGAAATTCTCGCTGATCGATACATAACTGCAGAGTTAGTGGTCAAGAGGAAAACTACCAGAGCTGCTAAGTGTGGTAACACGATGTATATAGAGTTTAGCACCTGTCCGATCCGGTGCTAAAAGATCAAGAGGAAAAGTGTTACAAGCTTCAAATAGAAGTCCCTAACTGTCCTAAATGCGAACCATACGTTGGCTGCTCCCTAAGATTTTATCTTAAAATAGCTACTTAGTTCTCTGTATTAGTGGTTCCAAAATTTTGCTCAACACATTGTAGACGCATAACCATAAAGGCTCGACTCCAAAATTTAATATACGACTTAATTATTTTATTGCTTCTATATTTGTTATCTTAGGTTTGTTGTGACTTACTTTTAACACTAGTCTCTGGACACGTTCCATGTGAATTTTTATAGATTCGTTAGAACAATTAAAATTTTATGCATATCGTGTGAAGTGAGTAATATTTTTTAATGTGCGTCAAGAAACACCAAATCAGGGGCACATTATAATGTTTAAAATCAACTCATTTCAAGGTACCATCGGTAAATCAATTTCGTTGAAGCTATTATAGGTAATTTTTGAACTTTGTTTAGTAGTTAACACACTTTCAATAAAGTCACATGACTAATTTGAGCCAAATAACAATTCAGACTTACGATAATGATAAAAAAAATCATAAAAATAATTAGATTGGTGAAGTCTAATAGAGAGAAAACACACAAAAAATAGAAGAAAAATAAAACATACACATCATTCGCAAGACTTTATTCATATAGATTATAGATAGAAAATAAATCTAGAATCAATAAGTTATCCATATTCGATATTCGGAAGCTACAAGTTTAAAGAGGAAAAACAAAATGCACAAACCATGAGAGGGAAGTAATTGCACTGACAAATCCTATAATTTGCAAATTATGTATAACAAAGTATGCATCATATTTTTCTCCAGAATAAGATAATACTTATTTTTGACAAAAGTAGAGACAAAATTTACCAGCGGTGCTTGACATCATATTCATTTAAAATTTGAACTTGTATTGTGTTTACTGTAATTCATTACTTTAGTTATTTATTTGCTGAGTAAAAATAAACTCGAAAAAGCGGACAAACACAGTTACCATCTTGCAATAAATACGTGAAGAAAATCAATATCATATAGCCCCATAATGGTATATAGAAATATGCCGATTGAATTTCATGCTCTAGATTACTGTAAGTGCATGTAAATACCTCTAAATACTGAATTAACTAAGAGAATTGAAATTTAACGACAAAAGAAATCTTAAAAATTATCAATAACTTATCAAACAGGATGAATGCGTTTAAATTTATTGTCTGATTTTATAGCTATTTCTTTTATAATAATAACATATCTCGTGAAATCCATCTAGGGAGTGTAGGGTGTGCACATACCTTACCTCAATTCAGAAGACCCTCAATTTGAGTCGAGTATAGCAAATCAGAGTAAATATGAAAAAGAAAAATGACAGTGAAGAGAATATAATATAATATAATATAACAACTATTACGAAAATAATAACAACAACAAAAAAGTGCAATAACCGAAACACCATAAAAACAATTGGTGGTAGAAAGCAAAAGCAAGACAACACAAGAATAAAAGCACTACTACGACAGACACAATTAAGCCTAAACCCTTCGGAAAGCAAGAGAACACTCCACTACAACCTTCTACCTTAATCGACGATCTCCATACTTAAGCATTCATGCGTTGATAAGTCATGCGTTGCACCTGCATCCCATATTAAATAATATAAATCATAATTAAATTGGAGGTTAATGAGCAACAAATAATATAAAGACAAAATTACAATCAAAATTGAGAAGAAGACTAAAGTCCAAGTCTAAGCATCTCTTAATAGTAATAAGATAGTTTACCGGTGCATGTAGTTGTATTGATAATTTGAAAGACTTTTGATATTCTAGAAGCCCATCAACAAATATAATAAGCTAACAGATGATAAATGTAATTTTTAGTGAATAAAATTGACAGATTAAATTTCATTTGTCGAAAAATGATTATCAAATATATATGTCACTAGAGCTATAAGCTTATTACACAACATGAAAACGATCCTACTCCTTTTAACTCTTGCTAAAGTTATGATACAACGTAACAGTCCTACTCTATATTGGCTAAACTTGATAGTTTATCTAGCACCGTTCCTTTTAAAAAATAATTTCTCCTTATTACAAGTGCCATTTTCTCAATAAAATATGACTCTATGTTTTATCATGGTTCTGATGTACCCATTTGAATTTCATACAATAGAGGATATAAGCCTATTTATTGTCGACATCAAGATGATTACCAAGAAAACTAGAGAGCTTAACAAATATAAAGGTAAACGAAATTATTTGCAGAAATATATGCTGTTAAACACTATGAATTGATCACTGTAATTGTGTTCTAAGCTAAAACAACAGAAAAGGCTTTCACCATTGTTGAGACAATTTCAGAATGTATTGAGAAGAAGATCAAAGATTACAAACAGCAATGTACTAGTTACAATGTTTATATAGTAGTAGTAACCGACTCTTACTAACCATAGTTAACTTAATCTAACTATTAACCAGAGTTCTAACAACCTAACTAACTGAAAATGGGAAAATATCTAACCAACTAACTTCTAGACCAATCAGCAAATGACACGTCACCCCGCATCATCTTTCACATGCTCAATATATGCAACAATGAATTTTACAAGTGATCTATTAGAGTACTCCCTCCATTCCTTTTTAATTGTCATTTGTGCTTTTCGAGAGTCAATTTGACTAAATTTCTATGCTAAATCAGATTACAGTAATTCGATATTTTAAAATAAAATTTTAGATATTCAAAAACAATATGGAAAGTACTATAAATCAATCTCGTGCTAACAAAAATGCATATGCCACTCTGCATGTAACTTCAGAAGAATAAATATGAAAACCAGCAATATTCATTAGCTTCATAATACTGCGATAACTGTTACCTATCAAGATTGCTATCATGGTGTTTCCAGACCTCACTTTGTGGGATTTCACTGGGTATGTTGTTGTTGTACAAAAGACAACCAGCGATAAAACATTCTATTATATTGTTGCAAATAAATGAACCAGAAAATAACAACATATATCTGTATCAAGAGTTCAAAAGAGCTTCAAAGTTTGGATATCTTTTAGCAGTTATTCCATCAACCTTCATATCTCTCCGGTGATCCTCTTTCACGTTGTAGACAGTCAAATACTTATCTCTATCCACATTCAATACAACATCATCATCACTGATCGCACAAAATGGTACGAGACCATCCATTCTAGCAACCCTAAATCTAGTCCAGGACTCCTCAACTCGATACTCTCTCATCATCCAAGCATCAATTTCGTTTCCTAGTGTATCATATAACATACAAAGATATCCTCTAAGATCTGAAAGCTTATTAAACAATAACTTATTGTTAGTAGGTGTTGACACCTCCAAGAATTTCTCATTACATCAAATGAAAAACAACCATTACATATGGAAAAAACAGGAGCTTTCCTAGTCAATCAATGCAAATCCCCATTTACACAATCTCCTCCATAGCTATTCTCATAGTGTAGACATCAACAAAAGTAGTGTCAATATCGATATCGAAAAAGAGTAACCACCTTATAATCATCACTAACAAAATCATACCTCTTAGTACCACATCAACTCAGAATATCACATCAAGCAATATGGTAACCCTCAGTTCCCTTGCCAAGCATCGGCAAGACAAGACTCTCGATGAAAATTCCAGTCCTTTCAAACATATAAGTTAATCCATCTACCTCCATATATCTCCATTGATCCTCTTTGATGTTGTAGACAGTCAACCTATCCCTATCCACACTCAATACAACATCATCATCACTAATCGGACAAAATGGTACCGAACCATTCTCTAAATCCATTCTATCAATCCTAAATGTAGTCCAAGACTCCTCAACTCGATACTCTTTCATCACCCAAACATCAATTTCGCTTTCTAATAAAGCACAAAACATACAAAGACACCCTCTAAAACTCCTAAGTTCATACCAATCCAACTCATTTCCATAAAGATTAGTAGGTGCTGGTACCTCGAAAAATTTCTCATCACTTAAATCAAAACCAATAATTACGAATGAAGAAGCTTTACTTGCCATCCAATGCAAAACCCCATTTACCAACACCCCAGAAGCCCCTCCTCGCTCCGAAAGTACATCATCGTAAGGTAAACTCTCTAGTCTCCTCCATAAACCCATTCTCACCGAATAGACATCAACAAAAGTAGTGTCAATATTCCCTTTTCGATATCGAGAAAGATTAACCACCTTATAATCATCACTAGCAAAATCATACCCAAAACCATACTCTCTGTAGCTACTTTGCTGAGGAAGACCCAAATGAAAAACTGGAATTCTATGGTAATCTAAGGTTGTGGGGTTAATTAAGTACATAATATGTTCCTGATTTTCCACCAACACCAGCCCATTACATGAGCATGCAATACTTAACCAGTTGTTCTGAAAATTAAGGTTCGTTGAAATGGCATCGAGTATTATATTTTGGGGGTTACGATTAAAGGTGATAGTGTGAAGATCGTCAGAATCAGAGATGAAAATGAGTTTAGTTTCTTGTTTATGAGCATGGAGAGTGAAGTGAAATTTGATGAATTGTGGGTGTGAGAGAAAATTGTACCATTGATTTGATACGCACCTGTATTGGCCGATGGATTTTGCAGGAAGACGAGATAGTATGTCAATTATGATATCCTGAGGTAGAATTTCACCTTTGCTCATTTGGATTTGGAGAAGAAACTTGGCTTAAATGTTCTGTTGAAGCTGAAATTGTGCGGAGGCTTCCAAACTTCTACTTAAGTGCTCTTTATATTCCTTTCTCGGTATCAAAAGCAATCGGAGGATAAAATTGAGCTATTTCTAATAGTTGCTGATTTCAGTATTAGCAAAGATAATTCATGAGGACCCAACATTTATATACCTTATTAGAGCTGTTAAAACGGGCTTAGCCCATGGGTCCGTCCAACCTAACCCGTTATTGGGTAGGGTTGTGATAGAATTTTTCAAGTCTATTTAAAATTATGGCTTATAAGTCTGACCCATATAAACCCTTGACCCTTGAGGCTTGATCAGGGTCAGATCGGGATCGGCCCATGGGCCAAAACTTTTTATTTAAGGGTAACTTATAATAATCTCACTAGTATATAATCTAATTACTTAAAGAACAACTTTCACATATAGCAAATACAAAAATCATATTTGTATGCTATAGCTATAGTTTGCATAAGTGCGCTCCTATGACTATTTCGCTATACATATATACAAAAAGAAGCAATTGTATAATCTGTTTTGGTATACATATACAAAAGAATCAATTGTATAATCTGTGTTTGTATAAAGCGAGAAAGAGAGAAAGACAAAAGAGAACTGGGCAGGGGAAGTAATTTGTACTGTATAATTATAAGTGTATAGGACGAAGATATATGTATTTGCAAGTGTATATACTAATTTTCTCTCGTTTTATACAAACAGAAAACTACAATTTTAGACATTTCTATTTGTATAAAGCGAGAGGCGAGGGAGAGACTGGCGAGCGAGATCTGGGAGAGTGGCGAGCAAGATCTGGGAGAGGGGAACGAAAATATATGTATATATACAATTTTCTCTCGCTTTATACAAACACAAATACATTTTATACATTTGCAATTGTATAAAAGCGAGAGAGGCGAGGGAGAGACTGCCGGTGAGCGAGATTCACTAGGGAGAGAGGTGAAATAGCAACAATTTGCTACGGGGAACAATTAAATCAAACTGTGGTTATGACATTTAATTTGAATTAATAGTTTGCTATTATATACAATTTTCCCTTACTTAAATACACACTTTATTGTAATATTATGAATCTTACCAAATTTTGGTACGTTCAGATACATGTATCTCGAAATATATGGACTCAAAATTAGATCAATTTGTTCTAGATACACTCTATCCAAGTAGATTCCCATGTATCTAGGATATATAGACAAATCTCGCGTCTTCGCTTCTGTCCCATCTTGCTTGTCACTCTCTTATCTCGCTCACGTATCTGGTATGCGAGATACATGCTAATTACACTAGATATTTTTACTAGTGTTATTGAAACAACACCATTGTTTGCTATATTTGATTTGAAAATCTTCTCATTTTCTTGATGTTATAGAATTATAAGTTTGAAAAGAAAAAAAAGAAAAAAAGTAAAAAAAGAAGGGCTAGCCCGCCCCAACCCTCTGGCCTTATAGGGTTGGGTTGAACATTTTCAGGCTCTTCCAAATGAAGGGCTGGTCCGCCCTAGCCCTTCAAATTCCTTGGCCTGCGAGGCTTGGGCCAACTCTTTTTGACAGCTCTATTACCTTATACTAAAATGGGCCATTCACATGAAGATCCCTATTTTGGGGTAATTTTTAAAATTTTGCGCCTTAAATTGATGATCTTTTCATGTTTGTTCTTCAATACTTCAAGCAACAAAAATGTGGTTGAAAATACCCCTTAAATGTAAAAATAAAAAAATTCCAAGTAAAAATTCATACAGACATAAGTTATGTCATACATAGCATATGTTCAATTTCAAAATGTTATGCCTTAAGAAGTTCATAACCCACAAGTTATGAAAAAAAAAGAAGATTCACAAAGCAAAAATTGCAAGGAAATATCTATCGAAAATAAGGGTTTAAAATTCAGAATTGAAAAGCTTAGAGTGGTGTCCAAAATGAGGCCTATTTGAGACCTTAAGTGGAGTTGAAACCAATAGTCCAAGCAAGCTCAAATAAGGGTCAAAAGCCACAACCAAAAGGGCCCAAAAGGCCTTATTTCAGCCACAAATACTAGGGCTTTAGTTTCTAGCTTGAACACTAAGCTATCCTTTTATTTTCCTAAGTTCTAGATCAACTACTTTTTTTATGCTATAAATAGGAGGGATTTTAATTCATTAAGGACATGTTACATTTAAATTAATTATAACAATAGTGAGAGTTCTTTGAACCTTTGTAACTTGTACATTGAGTATTTGTTTTATATTTCAATATTTACTAGTCTCATAGGTCAAGGTACATCATAATTTTCTTATGATGTTTTTAATTTCGTTTTGATATTCTTTAGAAGAGGGTAGTTTCTACATACTAATTGTTGTTTTTACTGATAAAGTGGTCAAGATCCTAACTTATCATTTTGATTAGTTTTCTCAAGTAACAACATTAGATTTCTTCTCATAAATCTATACGTTGTTACTTGGATTTTGTCAAATATTTAAACATCACATTCTTGAAAATTCTTAAATTGTTCCTTTGAATTTCCCATATCCTTATTTCTAGTTTTCCATTTTTTTAATTTTTCTTCGACGCTTCTAGATATTTTATTCTATGTTTAGAATCTCCCTAACCTCACTATTATAATTATATATAATACAATCAAGACAAAACAATCAAATGGTCACAACAACTATTATATAATTATAACAGTGAGGTTATAAATATAATCATAATTTTGTCTTGATTTTATTATATAATTATACAACCAGGTTACGATAATCCTAAACATAAAATTGTATATTTTTAAGTACGGAAGCAAAATAGAAAAAAATACTGAAAACTAAAAATAAATGTCACGATCCGAGTCTACACCCTGGACGTGGCCGGCACTCAAGAACCATTGCTGGTCCCCAAGCGAACCCTCATCCTGACTGACTACAAGCGGAAGACTAACTTAAGCATGCAAAAGCTTAAAACTGAATAAAATTCAAGAAACTTAAATACAAGCTTTAACTTAAAAGAAAACTCTAAATAAAAATAAATTATTCAACTCGCCATAAAATAGGCAATTTAAGTCTTTAAAATATTTAATAAAATAAATGAATAATACAGACTTCTCAACTATACTGACTATCTATGAAGCCTCTAACTGATAAAGATGGAAGTCGGGACAAGACCCACAGCATCATGACTAAACTGAAAAGTAAATGAAATCCTCTGGAAGTAAGGAGGCTCACCATAGCTAACTCAAACTCTCGGATGTATCAACGAATCTCCTGTTGATGATCCTGAATACCTGCGTCTGCATGATGCCTGCCAAATGGCTCGGTACTTGGAATGTACGAGCATGTAAGGGGAATTCTAAAACATAAACATAAGCTTGAAAAGAATTTGAAGGGAACTGAAGAACTTACTTGGCTCAATTCAACTCAACATAACTGAACTCATTTCAATATAAAGCA